TGGATGAGCATAGCTCTTCACAACCACCTATCCTTTGTATACGATAGCAACATTTTTTTTTACTTTATCCGGTCTCCCGTCTCCAATTACGCAGTCTGTTCACACAAGGTCGTCAGTTAGTTCGCCCGCTGCCTTCACCTGCCTCTTTAACTCTCGATAGCCCTAGCGAAGCATCAAGTATTCAGCTATTTGACGAGATTATGAACTACACCAATCAAAGTATTAGCTATGAAAGATAAGGAATACTGGAAAGGTGTAGTGAGTTCAATCTCGGCTGAGGCCGCAAGATGATGATGAGCTCTCGATATGGCCTGTGAGTTTCAAATTACCCAAACCATATTTCTTTATTATCCATGAATTTTCAGCTCTTTGTGATTCTGAAAATAAGTGTTCTTTTAAAACTTTTTTTCATGCATACATGCTACGTTAATATAATTCTCATCATCCCACTGTAGGAGAATTTTTTTTGCCTCCATTTTTTTCTTTTCTGTTGTGAAATTGCTCAGAGTTCAATACCATACTTGTCGATATCTATTTAAATTTTATGTCGACTATAGATATGAGATTTACGAGAGAATGCACTTCTGTCATTGGCCTGCCTCTGGGAAAGGCGAACAATTTATTCCAAAGGTGGTGCTGAAGAAAAAATGATAGTATCAATCTTCCAGTGTTGGGTCCTAGATTTCCTTCTGATATCCTCGTTTGATTTAGTGAAGGAGATCGTCCGAAAGACATATTTCACTCTTATGAGCTTTTCCGCCGCCGACTCTTATAATAAAATAAAACTTTACAAGCATACTTTGTTTTTTCTTTTCATTCTTCGGAAAGCGTTACTTACAGGAAGTTATATTTCAAGGACATAATGGCCGCAACATTTTTAAATATTTCATTTTGTTTAAAATGGCATAGAGCGAACGGTTACATTTAGCCATATCAACTGTAAAATGATGACACTCTGCCACCAATCTACTACTGAACTTAAATTCAAAAAGTCTTACTAATATAGAGGTACTTTTATCAGATAAATTACCATGAAAATATTTCATATGCTAATATATGAAATAGTAATAATAAAATAAATAATATGGCGGTAAGAAAAACAAAACAAAAAACAAACATTATTTTTCATATCTTGATAACGCTCAATCGATTCAGATTTAACTAAATAATTCTAATTCTTCTACACAAATTAAAGAGTCCCTTTATGCACATACAATTATTTACAAAGAATAAGAAATGACTGAAAATGTTGATAAACAAAGTTAAAAGTTACAGTGACGACATGGGAAAGGGATTTGGGATATAGAAATACACAAGGCTGGTAATGCTCAGGGGACGGCCTGTGCCAAACAAGTGGAATTGACGTATCAGATAACAAAGCAAGCAGGACACTAAACACAGAGGACCGTTAAAATACCTCGGACTAATTGAATGCGACTCAATAAATCAGGAAGATAGGAAAACAAAATAAAAGAAGAAAAATTAAGAAGATATGAAAATACTTTAAATAGAACTATTAGATTGAATCAGAAGTAATTTCCGCTTTTGTGAAAAATTGCAATGATGAATGGCACAACTTAACTACTAATACATACGTAGTAGTTAAAAATAAATTTAGGGTACGTTTATATAATTTAGTTCTTGCTCGGCAATGATATTGTACACAGTGAATTCAATAGGTTTCTCTGCCAGAGAGAATATTCCCAGTTTGCATTAGTCCATTCTTCTTCTATGTGCAGAGTCTGTTCAGGACGTTATCGATCACGACACTCCGCTATTTCCTCTCTTTTGGTAGTCCTTAATAAATTTTGTTTTTTGTTATAATTCCTAAACCATGCTTCGCCCAATCATACGTCGTTTCTCTTTGTTTCTATTTACTTCAATCTGTAAATATCAAATTTGTCCTCATCCACTTTCTTAATAATGAAATTTCAACTGTTCCTTCCTAATGTTAAAGGATAAGAGTTCTTTTTGTTTCCATTTTCTTTCAAACTTCTTTATTACTCACATGTTCAGTCCAAGGAATTCCCATCCTCCTCCTGCAGAACCACATTTCTGTTGCTTCAAGTCTCTTCTTCTTCTGTTAGAATATTATCCAACATTCACTGTTATATAGCGATTTTCCAAGCGTAGCTTAAATGTAGCACAAAGCCGGATTAGGGTGCACCCAGTGAGGATCGAACTCACTACTCAGTCTTCATTGTTCCAGCGAGACAATCTTGCTAACCATTACAGCACCTCGAGGTTGTCTATTCACTGTCATATAGGACTGATATTTTCCATTGCAGGCATTATTTTATCCGTGGTATAGTAACACCTTACTATACGAACGAAATCAACCATTCACCCTTACATGGAGTATTGCTGCCATATATGGTCCGGTGTCCCTTCTGTTTGTCAAAAGGTTCTTGATAAGATCCAGAGACGGATATGCAATGTAATTGGCCCTGATCTGGCATCACGTCTACAGTTGCTCTCTCACAGACGCGCCGTCGCCTCTCTCTGTCTTTTTTACAAATACTTTCATGGTAATTGCTCCGAGGAGCTGCATTCGCTGGTTCCCAGACTTCATGAAGTTAAGCGTTTTACTAGGCTGGCATCTCGCTCACACCCTTTCACTGTCGAAACTGTCAAATATAGCCGTCTCTTCTACTTCAATAGCTTCGTCTCGTACCTTTCATCTGTGGAACTCCCTTCCCTTTTCCTGTTTCTCTGATAGCTATAATCTCCAACTATTCAAATGTAATGTCAATCGACGTCTCCAGGCGCCTTGATCTATCCCCTATCCTTCTCTTGATCCTTTCCTCTATCACTCCTATCTGTTCCTGCCCCAAATCTTCCGTAATCCCTAGTATCCTAGTGGCTTCCCGCCTTGCTTGGGGTGAAACCCTTAAATATATATATATATATATATATATATATATATATATATATATATATATATATGCTTGGGTGTGTGTCCATGCGTGTGCGTGTGTAAACCCGAGAGTGATTGATTGATAGGTAACGAATATCTGGAGTGTAACAATAGATTGAAAAAATTGTCTTAGCTTTCTATTTAAGACTCATCCGCCCTCTGGTACCATCGAATCCTCTTTCCCTATCGATACATCATCGAGTATTCTCAATCATATTCATGGTGCTGTGAAAATATCACTGATCGTCATTCAAAGCAATCCAGATGACAGCATTAATAAAAATCAGCTAGAAAACACCAGTTGCAGAAGGCGTATGGGGGATGATCCCAATTTATAAATCCGCATCTTTATTTCACAATAGAAGTAATGTTTTGGGATCTTCATATTTAGACATCTTGCCATTTTCAAGTTAGAGGAACAAGATGTAAATTGCTGCAAAGACAAAAATGGAAATTTCACATATAATAAATGTAGACGTAGCTGCCAAGCAAAAAAGATGCAGAGGGGAAAATATGCATATGAAACTCTTGTTTCGGGTATTGCAAATACTGGTGAGCAAAAATCTATGGCAGCAGCTATAAACCTTACATCGCTGATTGAAAACTGAAATGTATATTCAAAGATAGCAAAGTAAATCTTGACAGGGGAAAAAATTGGTTTCATCAAAGTTAAGCATGTTATTAAAGTTGAGATGTTGAGAGAGATATGGTAGGATTCAGAAGTGTTTCCGTCACTTGAACTGAAGAGGTGTCTCTCCGAAACAACTAAGGCGAATTTACGTATAATGATGATATTAAAAATAAAGCATTTAAAACCAGTGAGAACATTAATAAAAACGAAATAGTCATGGGAATACTTTCTGATTAAGTCTTTTAATAAGGCTTAATCACATTTTGTAGGTTATTTAAATAGAATCCGTCTAATGAACTCTAGATGTAAAGTTGGGAAAACGCAGAGTTCCTAAGTAGACTCCAAAGCGTCTACACTGGAAATGGCAAGAGACTTATGCACCATCCTGGATATGACAATAAACTACATCCGTGTCCTGGGTAAGACGATAAACTACGTCCGACAGCAAGGAGATTTTGAGTAGCGTGGTAGCACTTGGTAGGTTCCCAGAAATGGGGAATATAGGTAACCCCCAAACTAGTGTGAAAACATTATGAAAGTGTAAAATATCTTTTAATACTTTGTAAAAAATAATACCAGCAAAACTTTTTTGAAGAAAAATATTATTACCAGTAATATATTATTACCAGCAATACATTTTTGGGAAAAAATATTAAGCAATAAATTTTTGAAAAAAAAAAATAAAAAAATAGCGGCTATACATTTTTGAAAATAAAACATTACCAGCTATACATTTTTGAAAAAAAAATATTTCTAGGTATAATTTTTTGGAAAAAAATACCAGCTATACATTTTTTTGGAAAAACATATTACCAGCGATACATTTTGAAGAAAACATATTAGCTGAAATAAATATTTTGAATGAAAAATATTGCCAGAAATAGATTTTTGAAGGAAAAACATATTACCAGCAAAAAATGTTTTGAAAAAAAATATTACCAGCTATACATTTTAGAAAAAAAATAACTTGCTATCCATGTTTTGAAAAAATATTACCAGTCATATATTTTGAAGAAAAAATATTACCAGAAATATATTTTTCAAGAAAAAAATATTACCAGAAATAGATTTTTAAAAACAAAAATTACCAGCAATATATTTTTGAAAAAAAAAATATTGCCAGCAATAAAAATTTTGTCGGCATTAAATAAACCATTGATGTTAATATGCCGTAAGGCAAACTAAACGGGATGAAACCAAACGATATTTATGCAGAATTTATTTTAAAAGTAGGTCTTTCATAATGTAACCATAGTTTGCTTTGATTTTGGCGCAAAGAAAAAGTAACACATAATATTTTACCCAGTGAAAGGCATCCCGTTCACCTGATCAATTTTGTTCAACTGTATGAAAATCTGAAAGAAAATAGGAATAGAAAGGTGATATGTTTCAATTAATCACTAAAACAAAAAAGAAAGATTATGCTTTAAGCAAAAGTAATTTTACTTTTCCTTGCAGCAATATCACAGTGAAAGGCCGGTTCCCATCCGATTACCGAAATTAAGCAATATTGAGCCTTGTCAGTACCAAGATGGGTGACCGGATGGAATACCAGATGCTGGAAGCCCTTACCAACACACACTGTGGTAAAGGAATGGCAAAGATAAAATATCCTGGGGAAATCCTACGTTAACAATAGATTTTCACAGCCTGATTAATAATATTAGACTTTCATTTTGTTCTTCGTTGACAATATTGACCAAACGTAGAACCATGTGGAATCATAAATAACAACGTTTTCTGATAAAAGACAAATAATAATAATAATAGTAGTAGCAGTAGTAGTAAAACTAATAACGGAAGCCACCGAATCTAAACCTCGGCATGATAGAGTGTGCTAATATCTGCACTGGAAAATATGCCAGATTTACGAGAAGGAAACTCCAAGAAACTGGTATGAACTTCACGTAGACCTGGTTACAGTAATAGAACCTGTAAACATTTTATGATACTTTACAATACACAAAGCACAATCAATGCTAATCGTCCAGGCATCGTGATCAAAGACCACAAGAGCAGTATGTGCTTTTCTTATTTGACATGGCAGTCCCTAGATAGTGTAATGTAACTTTGAAGATTTTAAAAAACTCAAATCTTCAAAATGTGGCACATGAGGCCATCAATAATTCCAGTTGAAGCTCCCGGATTAATTGTAAAATTTATTAACTGTACTCACATGTACATCACACGCATTAAGAAAAGCTTTATCTATGTAAAATTTGTGTGATATTAGGTTATTTTTTACAGAAATGATTAGTGGAAAATGTCATGAAGCCATTTTTTAGCTTAGGTCTCTGGGTGGTACACGGAAGGAAATGTGTATATACAACAGAAATCAAAGAAAAAAATTAATAAAAATAATAAAACAAATATTAACAAAAGAATAAAAGAATATGACATTCTTGTATATGTACTATCGTAAGTTTTCATGCCTGCGTAGGAAGTTTAAAAAGTTGGATACATGAAAAAGTAGCTATTGTATTACACAGGAAACGGGGTCAAAACTTTGAGTTGGCGCGTCTAGATAAATGATATAATCATAAAACCTAGCCAGTCATCACTGATGTAAAACTAAAGGGATGTGAAGATTCAAAACAGAGAAAGTCACTGAACCCGTACGGATTAGTTGTCCTCAGTAAATAAGTTTGACTTTATTACCGTGTTGACATTGATTGCCTGTTTGATACCAGAGTAGTCGAAAAAGAGAAGAGAAATAGAGAAATATGAACTTAAAGCAGGAAACAAAGAGAATATGGAATTGCCAAAAGTTAGAATTTGTGCCTATTGCAATCAAAATATTCAGTATGAAAGAATTTTCCCATTGCTTGAAAGCATTACATTCACTACTGAGTTAGTTATTACGTGTTGCAGAATGTTGGTCTCCTTGACACATAACGGACAATCAGAATATTACTAGGTACCTAAAGCTACGTTTGTTTGTTTGTATAGCGGCATATCAACATCCCAATGGGTCATTTAATGTCGATATTTAATTTTCTTGGGAACATTAGTAATTTTTTTTACAAAAATGTACTGCTGGTAAATTTTTTTTCAAAGGCATGTTGCTGGTAATTTATTTTTTTCTTTTACAAAAAGGTATTGCTAGTATTTTTTTTTTTACTATGAAAATGTATTGCAGATATTTTTATAATAATAATGTGATTTTAATACTTTCAGTGTTTTGAATCCATTTTGGGTTAAATATTTGCCCATATTTGGAACTACAGCATATGCCATAACCCCTCGTCGGAGTGGACCTGAGAACAACAGCAATTAAGAGGTGGTTACACGCTCGTCAAAACATCTTGATCACAGGCCTTGCTGCCGGATGTAAGACCCAGGACGCCCTAAGATAACGTTTTGTAACTTGATATCCAGTAAGTCCAAAAAACAGTTAAATAACAACACGAAAGATGTGCAAGAAGCAAATAATAATAATAATAATAATAATAATAATAATAATAATAATATCATGGTTGAACATTAACTGAACTTGCGGTAATTCGTTCATTGTTAAACTCAGAACAGGCGAAGGGAGAACACTGAAACCGATGTTAATACGGAATTCCGTACAAGAATATACGCTAAAGTTTTGAGAAGTTTGATTTAGATTTTAGATTCAAGCTTGTTTTGGAAGATCAAAAATTTTAAAACACCTAGTGAATAAGTAGAATTTCTTGAAGCAACTTGGTACCTGATGGCAACGTCTGTCCTGTGTTATCAATGTGACGCAACTGAAAATGGAGGAATATTTGTTTTTAGTGTCAATTTCAACAAGTACATGTTACATTTCCTGGAATCAAAAACGGAATTGTTCTTTTATGCTCAAATATACAATTTACCTGTACTTTCCTTTTATAACTATAATTTATTATGTGATATGCAAGTGCATCTGTATATGCTAGGTTTGAATCCATGGAAAAAATCTAATCTTGCTCACCATTATTATTGTAGTCAATTCCATTCTAAGTAAACATACCATGTGAACATTTGTCAATCTCTGTAAAGTAAATATTAACATCATGTCGTAGGGAAAAAAAGAACAACAAAAATAGAAACTAATAGATCTCTGAAACTGGTGTTAATATGGAATTTCTCACAAAAGTTAAACTTTGAATTGTGTGCCAAAAAGATTTAAATACAAGCAAATTAAACTTGAAAAACAATTACTTCATTTTAGTAAGTGTTGTAGCATACCTACGAACGATAATGGGTATGTTCCCATTCACATAAATACAGTAGAAAATGCTGTATGTGGTCCTGAGTTAGAGATTCGTCCGAACAGAGAGGATCCCCCGACGAGGCTATGTCGAAGGCCATATTCTCGTCTCGGTAAACAGCTACCCGACCCCGTTTTATTCGGGGTCTACGAGGAATTTTTGGCCGAGTCTCCGGCCTCGGATACCCCATAATAAATTCGGTCTTGAGCCACATCTGACCGCGTTGGAGGTTCATTGTGGAATTCACTTGAATCACTTCAAGCAGCTGACTACTACATCTACGGGCCGCTGGCGAATCTTATATGTGTTGTTCTTGTCCTAAGTATTATCGTTCATTACCAACCTTCGTGTGATCATTCTATTCAGTATCCTTCCCCGGGTTACAACAGTAAGATCGATCCTTTATTAATCTCCAGTATTAGCCGTTTAAAACCGAGCAACTACATTTGGATGTGCCTTTTTATTATCATGCGTTCGAGCTAGCTCCGGCATTCATGAGCCTGTCACACCAACCGTCACGGTCTTGCATCAGTGTCAGAAGGTCATTAGGGGGGTAGTCCGTGTCACAACATAACTGATCAGTTCAAGTGGTTGTTTGGCGACCATCTCGTGTTACTTACTAGCTAAGTATCCAGAGCAGTAGATCACTCGTAATTTTTTGTTTTGCTCTCGAGCAGAGTAATGCAAAGCATATTCTTCGTTCGCAGAAGATTGTAAAAATATCAGGGATGATTCCATTGAGCTGTGATTTAGTTGGAAGTTGTCTCCAGGAGATGATAATTATAGCTGTTATCATCCGAGTGTAGATCCCGTCAAACTTAGTCTTTAGGCTTTAAATTAATGTTCAGGAAGTGGCACCATAAATGAAAACTGCCTCTAAATTGGCTTGAAAGAATCTGTTTGAGATTGTCTGCTAGATTAGGTTTCCAGATTACATCCACTTTACCTTAGGCGATCCAGGCTTTAGCTATGCCAATTTTCACATCCATTTCATTAGAATTTATTTCGCTTCTTAGGTATGTAAAAGATTCGACAGATTGTATTCATTCACCTGAGACAATTTGTATTGTGTCTTGATTCATAGTAACATTTGTAGGCTAACTAGGTAAGTAATGTTTTGTTCATATTACGAGCGAAAATCAGGATAATTTAAGGGTTTCGACTGTACATAAACCAATAGCGGAAACAATGGTTTCAATTTAAAATAGTTCTTTTTTTAAGCCATATTACTTCAGGGCGGAGGTAATCATGGTTCTTTGTAGACATCTTTACCATATTTATATGAATTCTTGATAATGGTCGTCAGTGCTTTTCTTTTGCATCCTCCATGTTTTTTTGATTCACTAACTTGCTTCTAGTAGATTGGATAGCGCTCAAGAGGGTAGAGATAGATAGATAGATAGATAGATAGATAGATAGATAGATAGATAGATGGATAGAGAGAGAAAGTGAGAGAGAGTGGGGAGGGAGAGCATACCACACTATTTAGCCTATATCTGCAAGGGTGAGAGCTGGACTAATTTTTCCCAACGCCATTTTATCGAAAATGATGCAATTATTTTGCTCGGGATTTGAACACCGCTCGACTGATTCCTGTTTTATCACCGGTAAGCATTATGTTAACAACATGAGCAAAGTGGTACTTAGCAAAGTGTTAAATAAATTATCGCATAAAAGGATAATTGAAATGAAGAAAAAAAAAACAAAAAAAAACAAACTTTGTTATCATAAAACACACACACGTACACACATCACGTAAAACACCGGCGCAAGACGTATGGTGCTCACATAGCAGAAACCACCTGCGTAAAACTTATAAAAATGTTTTGGAAAAGAATCTGAAAGATAGCAGACAGCAACCTTTGCCAAACGTGACGTTTGGTTATTTTTTTTTAAAGAAAAATAACAAATTCCACAAAAATCTAAGTAAAAAAAGAAAGAAAATAAAACAAAAATAATGTGATGTTTTTAAAAGTTTTAAAAATACTGACACAGAGGTAAATAATTTCAGTGTAGAGAGTTATTTACATTAGAAACTAAAACAAAATTGCTGAACACAGACGATGAATGATAACCGATTATTATGACCATGGGTGAATCTTTGTGAAGCTGAAATATTCATGTCATCGCATCAACTGATTTTACTTTCATTACCGAAAATTGCGAATTATAAATTCCCTCTTGAAATCAATGATTTTGCTGCCGTTCAGTAGCCAATTTATGTCTCTGTTAAATCGCGTTCAATGACTAATGTTGCTGGAATAAATTTCAAGATGGGCATAAACTCCATATTTATCGGTTTTAATGTCAAGTTAGATTTTGAAACCTACGTTTCATTTCCGCTC